TTCCTCCTTTTTTGGCCTGCATGTCTTTACCTGTCTGAACAATGCCCCCTTACCTGGCATTCCCAAGGTGAGAGAATGAAGACCATGAAGAAGAAGAAGGTGGAGAGGAATGATGGCAAGAGCCCTCCAGCTCAACCAGGAAAGGGAGGAAGCAGAATGGACAACCCAGGTGCCTCTTGAGGACCAAGGATCCGGGGAAGGCACCATCCCATCTGCGTTCCTCCTTTCTCTGATCCGGTCTAGCAACAGATTCCTAAACAGCTGGGTTGGACTGGATAGCCCTGGCAGACCCTTTTGGTTTCAGGATTTGATGATTCTTAAGGAGTTGAAGGGAGGGACAAGTGTGTCCGGACGCAGGTGATGTCTTTACCTGTTTGAACACTTCGCAGGTGCCAGGAGCACCCCAGGGGCCAAGCGGGAATCCTAGGGGTCCTTCCTGCCCAGAGATGCCACAGGGAGCTGGGCCTGGTGATGCCTCTGAGCATTGACAACAGTGACTCAAACAAAGCATATAGTAACAATAATAATAACAATAATAATAAAAATAATTTACTTTTGGAAAAGCACAGTTTATCATCAATGTGTGTGAAAATCTACCCGCTTTTGCAGGTTTCCCCACCTTTTAAATCCCATTTCTGTACGGGATTATCCGCGCATGATAAAGTCCTGTGTCTTTGCATTCTTCCATCATTTTAAAAGATCTTTTCTTTTTCAGGGCAGCACTCTCACCCTCAGATTCCTCTCTCGGCTTCTGGGCTGGAGAAGAAGGAAGAGGCCCAAGATCTGGGAACCCTATAGGTGACTCCTGTGAGGAGTCCTATTTTTAAAGTGAATTGGGAGATGGAGAGGTGAAGAAAAAAGGCAGAAGAAGAGGAATTAATTCCCTGGGGCTGTGAGTTCCTTCTCTCTCCTCTTGCCTCCCATAATGGCTTCTCCAAAGAAAACATGGCAGCCATGCTAATGGAGGGGCACAACTGGATCTCCAGTTTTGTGGGACATCTCCAGATGGGAGATGGGTTGCAAACTCTCCACTTTTGGGGATCTAGCGCCAGGTGAGAGGAAAAGGCTGGATGCAAGTCCCTGCTCAGCTAAGAGAGCTGCTGCAGTTTGTTACAAAGTGGAAGTCTTGATCGATTGATTGTTGCAACTTGATTGATTGATGATTGATTTTTGCAACTACGTATTTACTTAGTTAGCTTCTTCCTTTCTTCCTTCCTTCTCAGGCAGGGTGACCAGGCATCCTCCTTTTCCAGGACACGTCCTACATTTCAACCTTCTGTCTGGGAGGAATTCCTAAAATATCCTCCATTTTGAGCATGACTAAGAAGCATGAATTTACATTTACATTTAGCTTTTATGTATTTTATATTTATTTAATATAAATATACAAAATATATAATTTATATAAGGCATATAAAATTTATATTTACATTATATTTATATTTAGCTTTTATTTGGAAATGCCCTACGTTGCTCTTGAATTTCCTACATTTTGTGGTGCCTTGCCCTCCTTTGTGGTCAAGGCATCCATCCGGTCAGCCTGCTTCCAAACTTTGTGGTGCCAGGGCTTACTTTCCGCTCTGCTCTGCATCCCCCTTCTGGCTAATAATAATAATAATAATAATAAAATTTATTTATATCCTGCCTCTCT